CCCCCTGCCCCTGGAGCAGCCTCAGCCATTTATTGCAGGAGAATATCTCGACCCCTCTTCAGGTTTCTTTCCAAGTCACTCTTTGGTTTGCAGTAGACTGAGCTCTCGGATAAAATAAAAATCCTGTAGAAGGGAAGCAACACACTTGTATTTAATGTCCGTTATGTGTCGAAGAGTCCCGATGACCTCTAGTATCCGGAAAGCGTGCATCTGTCCTCCTCACAACTCTGCTGGGTAGATAGTCACGTACCCATTCTGCAGATAAGGAACTACGGCCCGAGGGTGGATACGGCAGTGAGCGGCAGGGTCAGGGTTCAAATACAGACCTGTCTCTTTTCCCCGGTCCTTCCATTTCTCAGCCACCCCGTTTCTTGTGGGTTTTATGCTTCCTCTTCCTGCCCGGTCAGCAGCATGGAGCAGTTTCTGGCCGGTACGTCTCCAGCCGTGTCTGTCCTGCGGGCCTGTGCAGGTCACAGAAGGCTCTGGGCGAGGCAGTTCAGGTGAACACGGGGAGGACGAGGGGGATGACCACAGCCTGCCCACTGAGCTCTGCGGGCTCGGAGGTCTTCTGTATGGAGGTGGCTGCGACCTCCTTGGATTAGTGATTCTGCCCTAGGTCAAGCTCGTTCCAGCCCTGCAAGACCTTGCAGAAGTGAATCCCATACATGGGGTATAATTATCTTGGTCCTCGGTACAGAGGAAAATTCATGGAGCAGTAACTGAAACAGAAATCCTCATTCTGTTTCATCTGAGGAACCAGTTGTCCTGTAGGAAAGAGAAACCCTACGGAGGGCTTCCTCTGGCAGAGCCCAAGTGGGGGCTGTGTCGAAGGAAGGAGCTAGGGAAGAGTCAGGATAGAAAGTCCCAGGAGCCCCGTGTCATCTCCCAAAGACCGCTCCTCCTGGGCACTGGCCCCTGGCTCTCTGCAGCTGCCCCTCCTCCTAGAGACTGGGAGGTGTTCCCACAGCCTGGGCTGTGAATCCCTCTCCCTCCTTGATCCCTGCCAGTGTCCCGGCGTCTGAGCCCTGTGACCCAGACTCTGCTGGGCCAGCCAGCCAGGCAGTAAAAGGAGATTGATGCCCTCTCCTCCTAGGAGAATCCATCACTTTTTGGCGTGCGGGTCAAATGGCTTCACCAGAGACAGCTCTGAGCAGCACTGTGTGAGCTAAAAATAAGCACAAATAGGGGCCCAAATAGACAAGAGGACGTCAGAAATGAGAATGGCTCACTCCAGCCGTCCCCCAGGGCCTGTGCAGTGCCCTTTCCTCCCACACTGTTCCCCTCCCACCCCCCTCTCTTGGGGCCTCTGGGAAGGTGCTCCTTCCTTTTCCCTTGGGCAATAGCATCCCAGGAGGGGTGGGGTAAGAGAAGTCGGACAAGGCTGGAAGAAGGGGAAGATGGAGGGGTGACCTTCTGTGGACAGAATGGTCTTAGTGGCCACAAGGAAGGGGAGGACGGAAGAAAGGCCATCCTGAGTAATGGAAGGAACGTGAGCTCGGGAGCCATAGAAAGAAGAGAAGCCTTCCTTGGCCATGCTCTGGCCCTGTGAACTTTGGAGAGTTAGCCCTGCCTCCATTTTTTCATCTGTGAAAGGGGCACAATAACCCTTGTCTCTCGTGGTTATCAGAAGTGAATGTTGACCAAGGGGAAGGATTGGTCACAGATTCACTTCCCTTTGCCCTGCTTCTTCCTACTTAGGTTCGGGGATAAGCGGCTGCTCAGATGGTGTTTGGGAGGCTAGAGTCTTGTTGGTACATGGGGCTATCCACATGGAAGTGACTCGCCTTAATGCGTTTGGCCCACACCCAGCCTCTCTCCACTGAAGCCCCCCATTTGCTGAGCTTCTCATCCCCATGACCGGCGGGATGTTCTCTCCTGGGGGAGGATTTATGGTGGAATGGAATCTATATTTATTTTCCATCCCTCCCACCGCCCTTTCTAGATCTCACTGCCCTCTTTGTGGACTAAGCTCAGGTATTGCTCTCAAAATACTTCTCCCTGAAGACAACTAGGGTGAGCCAGGCCTGTTTTATTCTGAGCCACTGGGTGTTTCCAAGTCTCTGAAGAGGATCCCTGTGCAAATTTGGGGAAGACACTTTGGTCCATCGGAGGCTTCTTCTTTGTGCTTGCAGAGAGCAGCATAGTTCCCGGTAACGTGGTCCCCTGCACCCCCACAGCTGCATTCAAGGCTCTCGAGCCCTGGGGTACGGAGGGAGGTATGAGAAGTGGCTCCCTGTTTGCTGCCTCCACTTGACTTGTCTGAACCTTTCTGAGCCTGTGATTCTTACTGCTGAGTGAGGGAGGGGAGCTAGTGGGCTCTAAGACGTGGCCCTAGCCTGGTGTCTATTCAGCAGGCTGAGAGCGGGCTCTCCATGGAATTCCTCTGTCCCTCTGTCCTCATTCTGCTGTCATGGCAGCTGAGAATGAGAGAGCTCAGGGGGCTGGTGAGGTCGCTCAGCCCAGAGTTGGACTGAGGGATCCAGGAATTTATATACTGTTGCTTTGCCTTTGTGGGGATGTGTCCAGAACATAAGAAGGTGAGAGAGGCATGATCTTCATCGTGTGGATGAGCAGTTGAGGCCCTGAGAGGGAACTTGACTCAGCCTAGGCCGTGCAGCTAGGTCAGGAGGAGGAGCCCCCAGTAAGTCTAGGATTGCAGGCCTTCAGGTGGCGAGAAATGAATAAAACGTCTGTGGGCGTGGGACTGTCTGTTAAGAGCTGGCTAATTCCTCCCCTACCAATGTCCATCCTGCTCCAGTGGTTCTCAAAGTGGGGTGCCCAAATCGGCAGTATCAGCATCACTTGGGAACTTGCTAGAAAGGCAGTTCTCAGGCCCTAACCTGGACCTAGTGAATGGGAATCTCTAGGAGAAGCGCCCAGCAATGTGTTTGAACAAGCCTTCTAGATGATTCTATTGCAGCTCAAGTTTGAGAAAGACACTGCCCTCTTCCAGTGCTGAGGGAGACTGGTGTTGGGGTGGGGTCTAGGGCCAAAGGAGGCTTGTCCCCTTGTGGTTTGGCTACTCGGGCATGTCCTGATGCTCTGGATTCCAGTCCCATTTCAGCCCCCAGGGGTGGACTTCTGACTTGGCCCTTGTTTCCCTTTCTTGTAAAATAACATCCACAATGATGCAAACACCAAAACACGCTGACGTTTTAGAAGACTTGAGGAATTATAAACCTTCACATAAACGGCTCATGTAGTAGGTAAGTAGAACTTATATTATCCTCCCACACCCATTTTACAGACAAGGAAACTGAGTCCTAAGATGTTTTGTGAGGTGCCCCAGCCCATACTGTGTGGAGGACCCAGGTCTGGATCCGGGTGCCCTTGACTTCTCATTCCTCTCCAGTCCCTGCGTGTTCAGAGGTGGGGACTTGGCCTCATAAGGCTGCCTTCTCAGCCCATCTGCGCTCTGTGGCCGCGCCAGGACGCTCACCTTGTAGGACCCCGTGCATCATTACTGGTCACCTGGGAATGATTATGCAGCGAAGAGCAGATGGCCTCCCCCGAGAGGTCCTGACCTCCCATTTTCTCTCAGTGGGAGACTCTTTAGCCTTCCCCTTCAAGGCCAACAAATCCCGTTCCTCAGAGGCTAAGAAATAGTGACGCAGGGTGTAGAGAAGGCAACCGATGTTTAATTCGCTTGTTGTAAAGACTGGGGCGAAGCCCTGCTGTGTGTGGCCACCAGCTGGCTGTCACATGGCCCGTGAGGAGCAGCCTGGGAGCAACGCTGGGAGCCTACAGGTCTGTCTTGCTGGGGAGGAGGGAAAAAGGGTCTGCAAATGCTTCCTCCCACAGATCCTCCCCGACACGGTGGGGAGACCATGAACTCTGATAGAAAAAACAAACAAACAAACAAAAGATTTATAGAGACTATTCTGGAAGGAATTCCCAAGCCAACCCAAACGCCAAAGCCTTGCAGCCACACCTGTCTGTTCCTGTCGCCTGTCTCCTCACTCACGGGGACGGCCGGCCTGCCACGGTCCTCCGTCTTCAGTTTTTGACAAGGTCCTGTGAGACAGTCCCCTTTCCCGGCTCTGCGACGCTCTTTGTAACGTTCCTACAGGTGGGCGGTGGGCATCTGCCCATTGCACAATAATGGCGAGGTCAGTGAGCATCTCCAGGCTTGTTCCTTTCATCACCAGCCCACTGCTTGTACTATTCCTCTGATAGCAATCTTTCCAAATGGGGAGGGGAGGGGGACGGCTGAGGTCACATCCTTGCCTCTTCCTGGCAGACGGACTTTAATAGGCTTGCTGAGGTGGTGGCAACCCTTCTCTGCATAGACCATGGTTCCGGGGTGCTCTCCGGACTTGGCTTTCATGATCTCAGCGGTCTTTCAGAGGAGCGGGATTTGTCAAGTAGAGGCTCCCTCCAGATAATTTTAGCTCCCACTTAGTCGTCTCCACCACAAACCAGACCCTGTGCTAGGACTGTTACAGCTACTCTTGTGTAACAAGAGCCCGTGTGTCTGTGTGTGCATCTGTGTGTGTGCGCGTGTGTGATTAGATTGTCCCAGGCGCTGGGCCAAAGTCTTCAAGTGGGCTCTCTCACTTAATCATCACAAGAATTCAGCAAGGAAGGTATGGATGGATGCTAATCCCATTTTACAGATGAGGACATTGAGGCTCTGGGATGAAATCACTTTCCCAAGCTCAAAAAAACCAGCAAGGAGGTGGGGGGGCCGGGATTCAAACCTCACTATTCAAAGTGCAGTCCTTGGGCCCATGGCACACAGGCATCCCTGGAGAGTTTGTTAGAAGTGCAGATTCTCAGACCTACTGAGTCAGAACCCGCACGATGCCCATAGCCATTGAGACTGCCATATGCATACATGCTGTCCAGCAACTACAGCTAATTATTCCAGAATCCTGTGTGTTAACTCCTGTGGACTCTTGTTTTCCAGCTGAGGCAGCTGTAATGTAGACAGGTTAGGGGCGAGTCAGGGGCAGAGCCGAGATTGATTTGGTTCTGGGTCGGACTCACACCACAACGCAATGCCGTTTTTCATGAGTGAGTCGGGGTTCATGACCGAGTCTGCCTGTCCGTGCCGCGGACTCAGAAGCAGCACTCCCCTCTGTAATGAGGACAGGTACCTCGAACTGATGGGCTGCTCTCCCCTCTGTCCCCCTCCTACAGATGTGCAGCACATTAAGAGGAGGGACATCGTGCTGAAGCGGGAACTGGGCGAGGGAGCCTTTGGGAAGGTCTTCCTGGCCGAGTGCTACAACCTCAGCCCCACCAAGGACAAGATGCTCGTGGCCGTGAAGGTAACTCCCAGAGGTTTGCAGGTGCCAGGAAGTGGGAGGGGTGGCTGGGGGCCGGGGAGCAAGAAGGAGAGGCTCGCTCCGTTCTGGGTGTGACCTGGCGTTGTCAGATGCAATCGGGCCCTTGCTCCCAGGTCAGTGACGTTTCCTCTGGCTTCTGAAGCCTAAGGGGGCTGGGGGTGGGGTGCAGCTGGAGGAGCCAGTTTGCTGGTGAAAGAGCCTGGCTCATCCCCGTCCCCAGCTGCCTGGAAAGTCTCTTGACATTTCTCGGAACAGAGTTGAGTGAGGGGTGTGCGGCTCAAGGGCAGCAGACGTCCCTGGGAATAGAAGGGGAGGGGTGGGGAGGGTCAGCTACTAAGCACAGGGAGACTAGTGAGTGAAGTTGGAAACATTCCTTATAGCCCCCCTGGGATCCGAGTTCGGAGCCCAAGGGGCAGCATGCCTGAGGGTTACTGCCTCCTGGCAGCCACTTCGATGGGCCCAGGAACCACAAGGCTTCTGTCTTGCTGAGCCAGCTGGGCCGATCTGCAGCTGGAGCTGAAATGCATGGGGCAGTAGTTCCACGCTATCAGTTCCCTACCCCCATACTTCAGCCCGCAGGGAACAGCTTCTCCTGGAAACCAGCGTTGGACAAGTCATTGAACATGATTTGTACAGACAAGAGCCAAGGAGCCCCTCGGGGGCACCTGCAGGTCTCAGTGGCCTCCACGGGTGCCCCAGGAATGCTTCTGAGGGCAGTGTGTGAATTCTGCTTGCTGTTCTGGGCTGAGAGCAGGGGATACTGCTCCCCACTGAGGACGCTCACTTGGACCTCAAAAGAGTCTCTCCCTTAGCACCGGGGGCTCTGACCCCACCATCTCATGACGACCGTTCCCTGCTTCCCTGACTTTTGGGTCAGAGTATTCATAGTCTTTTTTTCTTTTTTAAGATTTTATTTATTTATTTATTTATCGGAGAGAGAGAGCATGAGCAGGGGGGAGAGGCAGAGGGAGAAGCAGACTCCCCGCTGAGCAAGGAGCCCGATGCGGGACTCAATCCCAGGACCCTGAGATTGTGACCTGAGCCGAAGGCAGACACTTAACCGACTGAGCCACCCAGGCACCCCTGTATATTCTTTGTCTCCTGTGTCTGCCGGTTGTGTCTGTCCACAGATGGCAGATGACGGCTTCCACGGATGCTGTTTAGCCCCCAGGCATAGTGGAAGGGCATCAGAGAGCCTGGGTGGGAGGCCCAGCCCTGCCACTGATGAGCTTTGTGATCTTGCACGAGACCCTTAACCTCTTTGGCCCTCAGTTTCTTTATCTGTATAATGGGAAATATAATATTTCCTCCTTAAAACGTTGGCGATTAAATCACACAACCGACGTAAAATCCTTAGTACATCGCTTGGGACATAGTAAATGCTCAATCAAGAGTAGTTGCTACCTGGTTTTATTACCATCGTTATTCTCGATATTGGTTTTATTGAATGTGCTTAGATACATGATGAACGACCTGCCAAGATTGCACTCACCATCTAGAATAGGGGGTGCTCAACTTTTTCTCTTAAAGGGCCAGATAGTAAATATCTTAGGCGTTGAGGGCCATATGCTGTCCGTTACTATGCTCAACTCTGCCCAAGAAGTAGGAAAGTACCATAAACAATAGGTAAACTGATGGTAGGCCATTTTCTAATATATATATATTTTACAAAAATAGGTGTTGTCTGCCAACCCACGATCTGGAAAATAAATAAGGAACTAGAGTATTTCCTCCGTGAAGGCTGATCATTATTATTGCTAGGCAGCCTGAGAATAAACTTGCTCACTGTGCCTCCGTAGACATGGGATGGTCAGATGAGCGAGGATGTCTTTAAATGGCTTGAACCAGGGAAGTGGAAAGATTTCTAATTTCGTCCCCAAAGAATCTGCACTTCCCTGAAACTTTTAATTTATAGGGTGACACGAATCCACTGGGCATTCCAGCATCCCTCTGGGGACTGGTAAATGAAATGGACATTCTTGTGCTTTGAGCAGGAAATGGAATGATGGCCCCAAACCTTGGGAAATGTTTCTCACTGAGCAGTCGGGGGTTAAGGGACAGTACCCAGATTGGATAACAGAAAATGTGTTTCTCTTTTCATCCTTTTAAGAGGGTTTTCTTCTCTCCTTGAGTCTGGGAACCTGGAGGAGATGAGTGCCCTGAGATTATACACCATTTGCTGCCCAGGGGATCCACCCAGACACCATTCCCTGGAGAAGACACTCATCTCCTCTGTAGAAGGGCCGAGAAATGGTGTTTTCTGCTTCTTGTCCTCTTCAGATTTTACTCCTTTGTGCAGGCTCCTTCCTCTTGAGTTTGCGCTCATATTGGTGCAGGGTAATTGTGGACTTTCAGAGAACACATGCAAGTATAACCCAAAGTTAGGTTTTCCCAAAATTGTGGTTTTAAGTCAATTGGCAAGAATTTTTTTGCCCAGTGGGTGCCATGGGGGACAGAGAGAGACATCACAGCCTCTGTTCTGAAGATGCTTGCAGTCTGCTGGGGAGGCAAAAGAATACCCAGGAAGGAAGGAGAGCAGGACAAGGCAGAGCATAATTTGGACATATGGGTGGTGTAAGACTGACATTAAAATCACGTGATTCATATTTTAAAATCGGTGATACCATTTTGGAATAGTCACTTGACAGAGAATACACTTGTTCATAAGATCTCAGAGAGTCTCCTGATAGCCAAATAGCTGATGGGAGAATGAGAAAGGGGTCCGACCTAATTCATCACCAGAAAAATGCATATTGAACTATAATGAGATGCCAGTGAACACCCAGCAGAATGGCTAAATGGTGATGATCATACCAAATGCTGACAAAAAGTAGGGGGCAACTGCAGTTCTCCTCCTCTGCTGGTGGGAAGGTAAAGTGGTATAATCGTTTTGAAAAACAGTTTGGTATTCTAGAACATTACCATACTGTGTGACCTAGCACTGTTACTTCTAGACCTATATCCACTAGGTATCCATCTTTCTTTCTATCATCTATCTATCCATCCATCCATCCATCCACCTACCTACCTATCTACCCACCTACCCACCCATCCACCTACCCACCCACCTTTTTCTTTTCTTTTTTTCTTTCTTTCTTTCTTCCTTCCTTCTTTCTTTCTTTCTCTCTCTTCCTTCCTTCCTTCCTTCCTTCCTTCCTTCCTTCCTTCCTTCCTTCTTTCTTTCTCTTCCTTCCTTCCTATTATCTATCTATCATCTATCTATCTAGAGATATGTCTAATAATGTTCATAAAGCATTATTTACAACAGCCAAAAACTGGAAACAGCCCCAAATGTCCATCAATAGCAACATGGATAAATAAATGTGGTATGTTCATATAATGGGAAACTATTCACCAAGGAAAATGAGTGATCTATAGCTATATGTAATAATAAAGAATCTCAAAAACACCATATTGAATGAAAAAAGACAAATACAGAGAAAAAAATATATATACATATATATATATATCTCATCACCATCACCATATATATGCATACATATATATATTATATATAAATATAATATATATATAATGTTATATATATGATCGCACGTATTTAAAGTTTAAAAGACAGGTAAAACTGAACTCTAGAGGTTAGGGATTTATATTTATGTAGTAAAAAGAGTTTTACAAAGGCAAGATCATGAACTCTGTAAGTCAGTATAGTGGTTCCCTTTGGGGTGAGAGAGGGAATATTGGAGGGGCGGGGCATGGGGTGGGGGCACTTCTGGGGGGGTTGGCAGTGTTTTATTTTCTCCTTACATTGAGGATACACTGATGTTAGATTTGTAAGAGTTCAGTGTGCTATAAAATATTTTTCTTTCAAAGATTGATCATATTCTTAAAAATATGCCTAATTTATTCATCCCATAAATATTTATTGAGCACTTACTATGTGCCTGGCCCTGCGTGAGGCACTGGGGATGGAGGAGGCAAGGGCACACACAGGCCCATGTAGCTCACATCTCAGAATCCTAGAACCTTAGAGCCCTGAAGGGATAGATGAGGAGGAGGAGGAGGGGTGTTCAGGATGATGACAACAACATCTAACTGGGAGTATTGATTATGGCCCTCCTATAAGTAATGTGTGCATGTTAATGTTTTGTTCTCACAAGCCACCCTCAGTGTCAGGTATGATCACTATCCCCATTTTATGGAAGTGGACACTGAGGCACAGAGAGAGAGGTCAAACAATTCGCCCAAGGTCCTGCAGCGAATCAATGGTGGGAGCACTTCAGATCCAGGCAGCCCCTCTCCTTCACCGATGAGGGCATGAGCCCCTCGTCTCTGCCTTTCCTGGTTCCCTCTGTCTCTCCATGCTGTGTTCTGGGTGAATCTCAGCATTGCTCCGAGTCATGAATTCTTCTTGTGGTTTTATCTAGTGTAGGGTTTGTCCTTTCTGTGGAGGCTTTTGTTTTAACTTCCATGAACCATATAATCTACTTCCAAGATGTCTAATTGGTTCATGGTTTTATGGTTATCTTAATTTTATTTCTCCCTGTTTTGGCTGCACACCTTGTTGTTGTTGTTGTTTTAAATAATTATTTCTTTACTGTCTTTGAGCATTTACTTATTTTAACATCTCTATCAGCCTATTCCTATAAAATTAACTTTATCTGCAGGAAATTCATGTTGTAGTTATTGATAATTTTAATCATTTGGCTCTAACATTCTATTTCTTCCAGTATGTATGAACTGCAGCTCTTAAGTTCCTTTTCGTTTGGAGAGTTGTTTTGTTTTTGTTTTGGGTGTTCATGATTTCCAGTGTCAGTTAGTTTACATTGGAACAGGCACTTAAGACATTTGTGAAACAATCTGAGTGCAGAATCTTAGATTTTTAGTATTTTCCCAGTTTCTTAAAAAATAGGTTTTCCTCTTATTCTTAACACTTTTTAACCACTGACCTTTAGCATGTCTTTCTAAAGTCTTCACCTTAGTTTCCATAAAAACAGGCAACTTGGGGCACCTGGATGGCTCAGTTGTTAAGCGTCTGCCTTCGGCTCAGGTCATGATCCCAGTGTCCTAGGATCAAGCCCCACGTCGGGCTCCCTGCTCAGCGGTGAGTCTGCTTCTCCCTCTTCCTCTGCTGCTCCCCCTGCTTGTGCTCTCTTGCTCCCTCTCAAATAAATTTTAAAAAAATCTTTAAAAAAAGAAAGATTTATTTATTTTTTTTTGCGAGAGAGAAAGTGCGAGCGAGCACAGAGGGTGGGGGAGGGGCAGAGGGAGCAGGACAGAGAGAGTCTTAAGCAAACTCCCCGCTGAGCACGGAGTCCAATTTAGGGCTTGATTCCATGACCCCAAGATCATGACCTGAGCCAAAATCAAGAATCAGATGTTTAACCAAGTGAGCCACCAAGATGTCCCCCAAATTACTCAGATCTTAAAAAAAAAAAGAAAAAGAAAGAAAACCAGCCAACTCTTTGTACTCATATTTCATTGGTTTCTATGATGTTTCATTACATTAAGCAATGACATTAACAGATGGATCATAAATGGTTTTGAGAAACAATCACAGCTGACCCTTGGCAAGCTCCGCTCTGGGATAGAAGTATCTATCTGGGTATCCAACCATTATTCAGGGCATAATGGGTTTCAGTCAGGATGTTCCTGAGAGGTAACAGACAGTACCAGTTAATTTGGCCAGTCATGTGGATATAACTTGGTGGAGTTTTTTCTGACCAAAAGAATGCATGTGCAAAGGGCCTGAGGCAGGTAAAAGCTTGGTGGGTACCAAGGACAGAAAGACCAACGAGATCAAAGTGTAATGAGTGGAGAGAAAGGGCATGGGAGGAAAGGAGGCAGAGAGAGATGGGGAGACCTGACATTTAGAGCCCATGACTGTTTTAAGGGGTTTGGATTTTATCCTAAAAACAACGGGAAACCAATGGCCAGTTGTAAGCCAGGAAACCAGATGAGACCCACCTCTGCTTGTGAAAACTTACCCAGCTTCCTCTCTCATAAAACCGTTTGGGAGTGTCAGCAAGGAGAAGTGACAGCGGATTTTGAGAGAAAAGGAGAGAGATGATTTTTATACTTAAAAAGTGTAGATTGGCATGCGTATGTGCGTGTTTGAATATTTAAAAATGTGAACATTTAGGAATGTGTGTATCTCTGCATATATTAAATGGGTTAAATCAGTATACTAATGAAATCTGAAGCCAAACACTTTGAAACTTTGCGCGAGCAGGGGAGGGTCAGAGGGAGAGGGAGGGAGAGAACCTTAAGCAGGCTCATGCTCAGTGCGGAGCCCATTGTGGGGTTCGATCTCAGAGCCTGAGATCACGACCTGAGCCGAAATCAAGAGTTGGGTGCTGAGCCACTCAGGCGCCCAAAGAAATTCGAATGCTTTTGTCATCTGGACTGCTTCTCTCCTCTCTTACCAGACGGCCCCACTGAAACCCAGGGCTGGGCTGGACATGAGATATGATGCACATAGAGAGGAAGATCAGAAAGTGCAATGTCCTCAAACTTTGGGGGAAAAGAAAGGAGATGAGGTGGGGGGCAAATTCCAGATTTCTTTGTTCTGTGGATACTGCTCAAAGGACCTAGGGGAGCCTCCCCGGCTTCAGAGACCCTCTGGCGAGACCCGTCTCCTGCAACAACAGGAGCTCACTGGTGCCCCTGAATGGCGATCCACTTTGAAGTTTCCCAGTCCCAAAGAAGGGGTTGAGCGTGGATGCCACTGAGAAGGGCGGGGGAGCCTCTGAGCTGATTTTCCTCCTCATTAGTCTCCTCCTGTCATCTATGTTCCAATTGCATCAATCCCTGGGAACTGGGGCCACCTGCAGCCCTGGCCCCCAGCTGCCGCACCTGACCCCTTGCCAATTACATAGGCACTTCAGGTTGGACCCAGGAGCTGGAAAACCCGGTGTGAAGACAGAGAGAGAACTAGCAGTGGACAAGGGCTGTGGAGAGACTAGGGGACAGTGGTTGCTCTGTGCCCCATCTCCCAAATGAGGAACCCCTGTCTGCCTGGCAGTGTGGAGCACCAGGCTTGGGCACGCTGGCTGGCACTGCCTGAGAGCCAAGAACGGAAAAATCCCATGGCTGCTATTGGCGTCCAGACAGTTCGAGAGAATGATTTACAGAGATGGAGAGAGGCCATTTGGCTGGCCCCAAATTTGATCTACTTTTCCCTCTCATAAATCCAGCATTCCCATAAATCTCTGTAGTCTCCCATCCCACCCATGCTGGGTTCCTCTTTTCTCCCCCCTCTTATTCTTCATGAAAATAAACAAATCACTGGCAGTCATCCTCTACCCACGGCCCAGGCCACGCAGCTCAGGAGCTGGGTCGCAGCGAGGACCCCTCTCACCATGACTCTGCCTTCTCCCACGCATAGCAAGAAACCTTTGCAAATGTCATTGTTCTGGCTGCACGTGGACACACAGCAGCATGCTCCTTTCTTAGTGGGCAGCTTCCCTGAGAAGGCGGCCAGAGCTGAAGTGCAGAGCACATGAGCTTCAGAGCCGGCAAAGTCAGCAACGGGCTGGACCGCCCACCTCCCTGCCGGGCTTAGTCAGCCCTACCTGTCCAGCATCCTCGCTGCGCCCGGCCCCTCTGCCTTACCTGGCCCTCTCCTCTGCCCTTTCACACCATAAAATTTCTGTGCCCCTCATTTCCTTGGGAACATGCCTGGTGGTCAGTTCATCTGGTAAATTAACTCAAGCAGGTGTGCCAGCCAGGAAAGTGTCCCTGGGCTCTAGATTCAAGCCCTGGCTTCTTGCATGGTCTCTGGCAAGTCATTTCCCCGTCCTGGACCTTGGTTTCCTCACCTGTCATGTGGGAAAGCTGCATGAGATAAATCCCAGAATTTCTGTCAACGGTAGAATCATTTCATCAAATGCGTTTTCGGTGAACGCTCCAAAGTTCAAAAAGAGTGAAAGGTGGTGCCGGTCGATGTCGGAGTGGGTTTGATCTCTAGCTAGGAGACCATGGCCCTAGAGACATTGAGACTGAACTCTGGGGTCCCAGAGATGGCTGAGGTCCGGTTTAATGGTACGCTTCCATTTGAGATGTGTGAATGCATACTGACTCCCAGACAGGGCTGGGCCTCAGTTTCTCCAACTCCAGCAGTAAGCAGGTGGAAGGAAGCTGGTGATATTTAGTGCTCAAAGTGCATCATCTCTAATGTGTGCTAGCAACTGATGGAGGTCTGATGGGCCCTACTAGATAGGATTTTTGCATATGCACATCCCTGCAGGGCTGTCAGCCAAGGCAGCCCTGTGGATTTCAGTTAATGCGTGTGGCCGAGGCAACAGAAAGACCCGTGGCTGGCGAGGCCTTGCAGGAGTAACATGATCTACAGGGGAGGTAGGTCAGCCTAAATCACCAAAAGGCCAGATGCTTGGCAGAGAGGATGCAAACCATTCTCATGCCTGTCTAGATTATCACTAAGCTGAAAAGAGCATGCCAACTTCACACTCGCTCCCTCATGGCCTAGTGTTGTGTCTGGTGAGGTTACGAAACTGTGTTGGTTGAAGCAAGTGGCTGTTTGGCCCTGTTTGCCCTCCAACCTCGTGGGGGAGGGAGGGAAGCCTGAAATGTGTGCGCCCACCTGCCCAGGCTGTGCCTCCTGCAGGACGCCCCCCACCGCAACGCACCTTTACTGTTCACCCTCCTTCGGGCCTGCATAGCTGCATCCCTGTGGCAGGGCCCTGTCCACCACGGTCCCTCAGATGTGCTCAGAGTCTTCTACTTCGGTCTCACCATCCCCTTCTAGTGCTAGAGTGTCCACACTCACACCTGACACCCCTCCTGACCGCTCCTCTTCCATTTGTCTTCCTGAAACCCAGTCTGATGTCTCCCACTCACCCTGGGCTCTCCCACCCACAGGGGCTACGCTGTGGCGTTTTAGTGACCACAGGATGCCCACCTGCCCATCCTGCCCTGGGATTTTGCAGGACTTGATGCCATCCTGGTTCTTGGTGGATCCTAAAGCTGTTGCCTGTTCACTGCCGTTCCCATAGCTGCAGTCCCACTCGCCCCCCAGTGCCTCCTTCAGCTTCCTACTAGGAGGACACAGGTGCCTTCTGGAAGCAACATGTTGATGTTTCTCTGTGAATATACACTCCTTCACAATCTAAAATCAAGGAATAGAAAGCGCAAGGAGGCTTTATTATGCCTGATTTCTGGTAGGCTCTGGGCATAGGCTAATTTACAAAGTTAAAGCAATGGGGTGGTAGTTTTTCCACTGTTATTTTTAGCTGCAGGACCATTTCTTCAAGGAAAGCTTAGGGGAAGGCGCCTTGGTCAGGCTTTCCACCTGCCCAGCCCCCTCCCTCCGCCATTCATGTGAACTCTCAGGGAGCAAAGGGCTCTGAGGTGAACATGCATTGAGATCAGTGGCCAGTGGATGGAAGGTGGGGCACCAGAAAGCTGGCTTCTCTTTCTGCAAGGATGAACAGGCTGAGGACAGAAGGAATCGGGCCTGGCTATTGTGATGTCACCTCATGGTCTTTAAAGCCTGATTAAAATCGGATTGGTTGGGGACCAGCTGTCTTTATCATGGGCAGGTTTCTTCCCAGGAGGGGAGCAGACAGGCCCTTGCCCTCTGGTTGCTAAAACCCATATCCTGCATTGTTTCCAGGCCCTGAAGGATCCCACACTGGCTGCCCGGAAGGATTTCCAGAGGGAGGCTGAGCTGCTCACTAACCTGCAGCATGAGCACATTGTCAAGTTCTATGGGGTGTGTGGTGATGGGGACCCGCTCATCATGGTCTTTGAGTACATGAAGCATGGAGACCTGAACAAGTTCCTCAGGTAAGCAAGGACTGCTGCCCCCAGTTCTGGCCCCCAGCCAGCCCCCCTGAACCCCTGCAGTTCCCCTGGAGCCAGAAGTCACACAGCTCCTCTGAACACATAAGTCTAGGGATTAGAAATGAGAAGCAACCTTTCAATCTTTCATATCAGTTCCTGAGCAGCAAGCTTCAGGCCTTTGTCACTGATTTCTAGGGGGAAATACTGAGGATGCTATGACAAGTGAGTATCTTCTTCCTGATCACAAGGTGGACTGACCGCAAGAGCAGGGTCTGGAAGAGTCTGAGGAGGGAGCCCAGAGGGCCTGCCAGCCTATAACTCTCAACTCTGAGACTGTAGAGCCACTTTTTCTCCTGATGATCTGAATTGTTTTCTCACTTGGTGCCTTACATTTCTCAGTGTTGCAAAGTGGAGCTAATATCTTACATCCCTGCTGGAAACTTTCTTGCTGGAGACTTTTTTACGATGAATAAGAAAGTACAATGTTACAAGTTCATCAGGAGACAGAGATGGTTGAAAAACAAGAGCAGATTTTCCTCGGGTAAATTTATAACCATGCTGTCCAGTGCTGTAGCTACCTATGGATATTTGAATTTAAATTTACATGACTTAAATTAAATTTAAAAATTCAGTTCCTTGGTCACACTAGCCACATTTCAAGTACTCAGTAGTCCCCTCGGGCTAGTGGCTACAATATGGGGCAGTCCAGTATAGAATATTTCCATCAATAAAAAGTTCAACTGGATAGAACTGTTCTAGAAAGATTAGGTATGTTGTAAGAGGGTTTCCCCAAACTTGGCTCAAGATCATCTGGGTTTTGAGATGCTTTTGATGGAACTAGCAAGAGACTGGAACCTCAGCCAGAAGGTTCTGGATGGAGCTGCACGGCAGGGGGGCAGACAGCCTTCCCCAGGGAAGACAGCTTCTCACTACCAGAGCAGAGTTCGCACTTCTCTGCCTCCCACATCTGCCACTTCCAAGTAGTGCCAGATGTGGAGGGGGCAGCCGTGTGTGAGGGTGTGTAGAATTCGGGGTCCCAGGAAGCAGTTGGGACAATCAGGCCCTTGACACGTAGGGTTCTTTTGGTATCCATTGCATCCCATGGCTGATAATGACATTTTCGGAGTTCACGTGTGGGCCATGGAACACTGCTAATACACTCACCAAAACTTGAGAGCATCTTCTTCAAGTGAGACATTGACTAGTGTGCCGTGTTTTTGAGGGGTCCTGGAAAGGGCTGGTAGCAGTTAATGAACTCTTCTTATGAGCTGGGTTTCCAAAAATGGCCCCCAAAGAAGGGAAAACATCTGTAGGATGTTTTGAACCTCCTGAACTTGGATTTTCACAATGAAATTTATTCCTTTCTTGGAGAACTCTGTCCTTGTCATCAGACAGACTTGGGTTCACATCCTGAATTTGTCACGTCTTAGTGATGTAACCTGGGGCAAGTTATTAAACCTTAATTCTCTCTCCTAGAAAACAAGACTAATACTAACTGCTCCACAGGTTTCCTTCCATGAGTGCTAAGTGGTTATATTGGTATAATACCTAAATGAGTTTTCCACGTAGCTGGGTATTCAGTCGATGATAGCTACTATTAAATTATTACAAGTAGTATTTTATCAGGACTGTGAACCGGGATAGTTACTAATACAGGCAATGCCTTTTCTCAGTATTCAAGATCTTTATGCTGTGCTTGCATCCCCCTGGGACGGTCCGAGGGACATACTCCATTTCCCAGCAAGCCCGCGCCATAGATTCAGCAGTGCCTTTAGCCCCAAGTGCCCCAGACAGGCCTACAGAGAGCTCTTGGGGGCCTCTGTGTACCCCTGCCATGCCCAATATAAGGGAAGAGGGAAGAAAAGAGTAGAGAAGCCAGTTGGTGGCTTTTAGGGGCAGGCTGCAGCGTCCTCTACTGGTCGATCCGAGCTCAGGCTTGCCTGCGGATGCTCCTTCCTTGCGGGCTGATGCAGTAGCTCTCCTTCGGAGGGTGAAGTAGACAGAACCCACAGGAGACAATAAAATGAATGTGTTCGTATTTAACGACTCCTTTCAGTGGAAATTGGAGAAGCAGTAAAACAGGCCGAGGCCTCCCTGTACACGAGGGCTCCTTGGTCCACAACTTCATAAATAAGGGCTCTGGGTGTGGTTATGGCTCATTGGGCTTTCTGGAGAAAAGAGTGAATACTAAAAGTGACCGATATGACAAGGCAAGGCGTTAGGATAACAAATCCGGGGCCTTGATTTGGGACGGTGGGGGAACCGGGGCTTCCCAGGCCTCAGCTTCCCAGACCCGAAGGGTCTCCATTCGGCCCTGCCACCAACAAAAGTTATCCAGTCCTAGGCAGTGTGGTGGATAGGGTAGGAATGTGAACTCCAGGCTCCTGCTACCCACAGTGTGGACTGCCCACCCACAGCATCATCACCTGGAGCTTGTCAGAAATGCAAACGATCGAGCTCCGCCCAGCCAATCAGAATCATAGGGGGCGGGGCCCAGGAATCTCTTCAGCACAATTGATGATGCTCCTTAAAATTTAGAGCTCTCTAGAACCACATGTCTGGTTTCCTTCGGCCTCCGGATTATCCATATGGCCACTGCGGCACTCCTGTGACTTTGGCCAGGTGATCTGACCATTTTGTGCCTCAGTTGCTTTAACTCAAAATTGGAGTTGGAGGATTAAGTGAATTAATAGATTTGAGATCTTTAGAGCTTGGAACAGCAAGGGCTTGGAACAGCAAGGGCTCTGGAAGAGTTAATTGTTTTATTAATGATTCTGTAGTAGATATCTAGAGCTGGGGAAACTCCTGCATAGCATTAAGATACTTAAAAGAGTAGGTTTATTTCCTGATCCATTAGACTATGTCTGCATCATCTTAGTTGGGAATCTGATTGTAGTATTGTACTCATAATGCACACTCACATATCGTAATGTTGGATAGACAGAAATAGGCAATAAGTAGGCTAAGAGAGATTTATTCATTTCTGTGGTGATTGAGAACAGGGAATCAAGAAGGCTGTTCCTCGTGGTCTCCTGAATTCTCTCTGTCCTCTGTCTTCTTCCCCACCCCTCACAGGGCCCATGGGCCAGATGCTATGATCCTTGTAGATGGGCAGCCACGCCAGGCGAAAGGCGAGTTGGGACTCTCCCAAATGCTCCACATCGCCAGTCAGATCGCCTCAGGCATGGTGTACCTGGCCTCCCAGCACTTCGTACACCGAGACCTGGCCACCAGGAACTGCCTGGTTGGAGCCAATCTGCTGGTGAAGATTGGGGACTTCGGCATGTCCAGAGATGTCTACAGCACCGATTACTACAGGGTAAGGTGGCTTTTCCAGCTGCAGGACTCAGCAGCAGAGCTAACACCTTGCTCACATGTCTTTGTCATTGTCCATTAACTCTGTCACTCCAGAGAACGCACGTATGCACCCATGCCCAGACATACACGTGGTGGCTATCCTTTGGCCACTCCTACATCTTGACATATCTGTTTATTATTCTCTCAATAGCTCATGCCTCCCTTCCTCTTGGACATTCAACTTGATGGTATTCTTACATTGCAGTGACATATGCATTGTGTTCTTACATACATCAATACTCATTCTTCATGCAAACGGACTCATACATATATATGTATGCCCAAATGCACACAGAGTCAAGCTCAACTTGGTGCTACATTTTAACACCTTCCAACTCAGTCCCTGACCCAGCCTTACCCACAACACATTTTATTCTCTGAAATTATCTGGTGACTGTGTAGGCTTATCTTGTCTTCAAAGGTAGATCTTGATGAGAAGCCAGAACCCACAGTAAAGTAGCAAAAATCATTAATGTCCTGCTGAGCAAAATCAACTGAATGATTTAGGAAAGGTGAAGCAAGAAAGCATGTTATTGTTGCCAACTTTGGAGAGAGTTGCAGGTTGGCCTTAGAAAAAGCTGGTAGGAGGCATCACATTCAATTTTACTTCTATACAGTGGTCTGCTTTATGTTAAGAGGTATCTTATCTTATTTTGCTTCCAGGATTATTTGTTCCCTTTGTCTCTGGGAAACCCCTTCCAGTGGATTATTGAGTGGTTTTGACAGGGGTATTATTGCCAGGGAAAAGACAAGTGGGCACGAGTGTCATTTACCCCAAAAGAGGGAAGTATGGGAGCAGCCTGAGATGCAGAGATCGGATAACCTTTGCAAACTGATTGGAAGGCACATGCCTCAAGAAATATGTAATAGTTACTTCAGGGACATTGAGTGGGTGAGGAGTTTGAACAGGTGGTATAAGAAGAGGGTGGGACAAAGTTCTAGAGGTCAAGAGGCATGGTAGCCATTGGTTTTATCTTCTTTGTAGGGAACGAATGATCATATTGTGAGTCAAAGAACCCAGATATGATTGTCCTGTTGGCCTAAGCATGGTGGACTATGAGGCTGGGAGTTGGGGGTTGGCATGTGCAGGTCTGTTCAATCTGGATGCTCCTGATGGTTTTGCCTAAACAACATTGCTCAGACATTAGACCTGGTCACTCAAGACACTTCATTTTAGCCAGATGATATACCATCATGAGAGAATATGAGGCCAAGTAGACCAAACAGCAGGGAAGGTAGTAAGGTCCGAGCAACTAGGCAGTTTCTCAAGCCACCTACCCTGTCCAACATCCCAGATACGGAAAAGGGAGCACAATGCAGCAGGCGCCATAGATGGATGGCCAGGGCAGACCTGCTAGGAAACATCAAAGCAGAGTCTTTCTTTAGCATCTAGACTAATTTTTTCACTCATTTCCAAGAAAGGCATTGGTGTGGTTACTGAGATTGCTTGTAAGCTGGCTTGGACAAGTGTGGATTTTCATACCATTATACCAATAATACTGTAGATTTCTTGAGTCTAGCTGGAGTTGGCACCGTTTAATTGCCTTTGTGCTCTCTGTAATGGGGTATGCTGGCCTGTTTGACTGAGCTCAGATTTACGTTGGTATTGATAAAAGCAAGGGAGGGAATCATCGTTTTTCTGTGTGCGGCAGATTTTTGATTATGCCAATCTGTTCTCTACTGGCTTTACCACGGTCCCGGGAAACAATATCTGGCCACAATGTGTGCACACTCAGCTGTCAAACTCACTTCAAGGAGTGCCCTTCATATTTCTTGATTCTGATTCAAAAAAGCCAAAAAATCACATCTATCAGCTATCCAATGATACTGCTTTGCCCTTGCTTTAACAACTGGGAACTGATGCTCTTTCCTCCTGGGAGAGCAGCAAGGGGTGAATCTGTCTTATTTTGGTGGGCACCAGGGCTGATTGGAACTTGAGGAAGGGAGGGCGAGGTGGAAAAGGTCCACTCTTCAGGTATCTGCAATCCCTTTTTCATGAGTTCTAAGCTGGGTGTCAGTGAAGGCCAGCTGGCTTGAAAATGTATGTCTTTGTTCACAGGGAATATGAAATTAAAAAGAGATATTGTAGTACAAACAGTGCACTATGGGAAAACTGCATATCCCACTGATGGTGGGTAGATATTATACTTTCCATATTCTGAGAGTAGTATGTATCATATCTTCGTGTTCAGTTGCTCACAATGTCCTAATGTATGCACAGCTCCCCCTCCCTCACCCTCTGCAAAACAAAAGGCAGAAGTAGATTTGCCAGGGGTCACATCACTGGATGAACTCCAAAGTCTTGTTATCCACACTGGAGGACGTCAGAGTGCAAAGGCGTTCTGCATTGGGACCTGATCTTACTAAACACCACCACCATTAGCAGCCTTGGGACCCCAGCGCACTTCCCCTAACCTCTCTTTAGTTTTCCCATTTAAAAAATGAGGACAAATGTAGTCTCTTGGCAGAGTTATTTTGATGTTAAGCAAGTTACTTTGTGTAAAGAGCCTGGAATACATAGCTTACTGGGCAAACTATTGTTTCCTTCATACCCAAGGCAGGAGAACCACAGGGATAATCTGATTTCCAGATGTCATTCTTGGGTCAGAGAGAAGCACCTCCTGATCACTGGAAGATAAACTGGGATCATGTAGCTGCCCCAAAGGAGTAGGGTCTTTAAGTTGACCACATCTGGAAACTTTCCTTTCCAAGGTTTCAACTTGAATAGAAAGACTGGATCATCAGCGCTTGCCTGTTCTTCTGGTCAGTGTTTACATGGTCCTCATGATCACAGCTAGGTTCATGTTCAGGTGATTTATGAAATATTTTTTTGTTTGGTACACTAGCTGAGGCTCTGGGGGAATGCAGTGATTTATTATATAGCAGGAGCATTGAAGGATTCTCTCTGCAAGCTGACATCCGGGATAGATTTGCTACTGTAGGTTACAGAAATCTGCTGAGCCTAGGAGTTTGTGAGTTCCTGGTGCCTAATTCAGTTAAATGCAGATAACCCAGGCCTCTCTCTTTGTGTGTGTGAGAGTGTGAGAGTGTGCAAGTGTGTGCGTGGGTGTGTGTGCGTGTGAGCATGCCTGTGAACGTGCGTGTGTTCATCTGCCCAGTACAGAGTCCAGGGTGTATATACAAGAGCAGGGAGAGAGATGGAGATAAACTCCTCCTTATGTTCTTTCTTTTTTATTTTTAATTTCTTAAAACAAAGAGGTGCCATCTGGCTCCTATATGAGTGATATGCAAACGATTTACACAGGTGAACTGCCTGATTTCCTGTTACGTATTTGGAAAGAGAAAACAAACATCTCTGCACTAGAGTGCCAGGATCTTTGTTCTCTCTTCTTAAGGCTATGCCCGGTGACATACCTTTTCCTTCTGTGGGTCACTCACTCGACGCTTCTGAGATTGCTTGTAAGCTGGCTTGGACAAGTGTGGATTTTCGTACCATTATACCTTTCTCAGAACATCAGACAACATTAAGAAATTAGAGGTCAAGTCTGGAATCAAAGAAAGTTTTGAGAGTCCTGAAGAGGAGGAGTTACTGTGCCTAGCACAGTACCTAGCATTGTAGATGCCCACTAAAAATATGAATGAGTGAACAAAGTCAGAATGAGCATTCAGAGTTAGGCAAGAAGTAGATGAGGCCAGACCAAGAAGAACCTGAACAGACAGACGCCCACCTAAGTGAGGTGAGTCTTTGAAGATGTTGGGGGGGAATCCATTATCTGAGCAAGTAGAATCAATATCTGGGGACAATGTCGGGAGGAGGCAGGTGAGTGGTGGTCAGAGTCAAGGATGATTCGAAGCCAGAGTCGAGTCTGGGTAGGAGATGGAGCCAAGTGTCCAGGAGATATGAGAGAAGGTATGCCAAAATCCAGACAGACACACTTCTGGGGGACATAAGGCAAGTCTGGCAGCTGATAACAAGTTCTGGGTTCTAAGCTGGAGATTCCAGATCAGGGTACCTAGAAACCCCTGAGGAGGATGACAACAGCAACCCTTAGAAGGTGGGAATAATTTAGAATAAACTGATTTGACTGGTAGAGTATTTGATTTTATGGATGTCGTGGTGACCCCATAGCAGTGATGAGAAGTGTTATCTCCCACACTATCTGGGTTTGTATCTCAGCTTCTATAATCCCTGGCTATATGACCTTGGGCAAGTTATTTAACCTTTCAGTGCCCCCAACTATAAAATGGGACTACTAGTCCTTATCATATACATTTACTATGAGGATTAAGAGTTAATAAATATAAAGTTCTTAAGATGATAAATGTTAAATATTAATTACTGTTACTATAATTGGAGCTAAAATACAAATGTCTTCCCAATTCCCAAATGGGCATTTTGAATAAGGCTTACCTAAGTGCGTTAGAAGGTAGGCCAGCTGCTACAGCAAGTAGATGCAAAAATATATATAATGGTTCCAACACAAATAGAAGCCTATTTCTAGGTCATATAACAGTATGAGCAGGTGAACTTGTTGGAGAAATAGCCCCTCCTCCATGCAGTCGTTCCAGCTGATGGAATTCTACCCTCTTCTTTGTGTAGTGTCCTTGGTCAACCTAGGCATCCATCCCCATTCCACAGCTGGGAGGGGAAATGGGCATGAAGGAATGTATGTAGTTAATGGGCCTGACCTGAAAGTGGGGCCTGTCACTTATGGCAAGAACCCAATCACATGCAGGGTCTCGCCATTTGTAAAGGAAGTGGAGTGTAGCTGTGTCTTCAGGTAGAAGAGAAGAACATGGGTTGTAGTGAGCAGCTGGTAACCTCTGCCCCATTATGGGTGAAGAAAAACTTTCTCTTCCAACATTCCACGGCATACCATCCCATGTCTGATGATTTATCAGGAAAGTTAGGACAAGATATCCTTACTTTCTACTGCTATTCCCATCCTGAAGATGGAGATGATAATCCTGAGATGCCCCTTTTATCCTCTGCTTGCAAAA